TTTATATGATTAACCAGTCAAATGGATAATCAGTTTTGACATTGAAGAAAATTCTGTTATAGTTCTAATCCAAAAGCAGTATCTGTTAGAAAACAGTCTGCTACTTTAAATGCTTTGAAAATACAAGCATATACTCATATTCCTTGCAATAAGAAATAAGAGGTTTTGTGGGCTAATATTTTCATCCTCTTATTTCAAAACTATTTCCAAATAAAGATAACAAAACAGAAGAAAGAAACATATAAAAGATGCTGGGAGTGTAGTAATCTCTAGGTTTGTTTTGTTTTTCAAGATCAGACATCTGAAAACTCAGACGTGTTCTTTCTCAGATGGTAAGATGCTTTAAGGACTTGGGAGAAAGAAGAAGCTGGTGTAGTACTGCAGTTCCCTGAGAGCCACCCTCCTGGACTATGATCAGTTTTCATTACTCTGCTTGCCCAGTAAGGACTCAATATTCACTTACAGGGCTCCTCTAACAACTAAATTTATGAAGATGAGAACTCAAAAAACTGATACTTGAAAGCCCTAATATTCCTACAGAAGCATGAAGCCTACAGTCAAACATTGTAAAGGAATAGTCTCCAAAACCTGCAGTCCTTGACTGAAAAACCTTTCATGAGCTGCAGAGAACAGCACTGAATCAGAACTGATGCACTCCAGAAGTTACTAACCACTTTAGAAAGGTACAATACCCATACAAGAGATTCTTTTTGATATAAGAAGAGAAAAATGAAGATTGCCCAGTGTCAGAAGGCCACCACACACAGCTGGGGCTGAAATCCTCACGTTGAACTCAGGAACATTAATCATCAGTCACTGACTTCTGAATTGCTTCAGCACTTGAAGAGAGTGATTTAAATACTTCTTTCTGAACAAATACATGACACGTCACATGACACCTTCCAAAGGCTGCTTTTCTAAACTTTTATTCAATTGTCAAACTTAGCACTTTTCTTGACAAAATAGCAGTGTCCATTCTGACCAGGGTCACAGGAATTGAGCTTGACCAGTACCAAGAAAAGCTGGTGTTGAAAGAGATGTGGCAGAAGTGGTACTACTTCACATCCATTTAACTGACTTCTTAATGCAGAGCTATTTCAGAGCAAGGGGGAGAAACTGGAACAAGAACATTTTTGCTAAGCAAAAAGTGACAGGTGGGAACTGACTGGAGAAACTTCTGTAGTTCGTTATGAGAGAATTCTGAATTTTTCCAAGGGTGTTTTGGGTTGGCATCTAAGTTACAAAATCAGGAAAACCCTCAGACAATAACCAAAAGAACAATGGGGTTCCTCAATCAGAAGGAAAACAATGGAAGTGTATACCTGAAATGTCAAAATCATCAAGTCAATGCTGAGGTGAAATACATAAAAGAGCCACAAAAGAGAAAGCTAAATAAAAATAATTTGTGTTGCTTCAGATGCAGGACCTGAGTCCTTCCTCTTTTTTTCAGCATAAGAGTAAAATAATACTTTGAAACCTTGCCATGCCTATCACTACTGACTCAAGGGCATCACACATCAATCTGTATCATAAAAAATAGGCTAACAGCTCCCACAAAGAAAACAGTATCTGTGTTATCAGGAGAGAGAAAAAAAAAACAAACCAAAAACCTAAAGAAGAAAGAAGGAATGTGGCTATCCACTTCTTGCTTATGCTAAGCCAACCAGTTCATCTTAATTTATGCATACTATTGCATCTCCCAAGAGACACAGCTTTGCTCTATTGTTCTACAATTTAACTGAAAAACCACCAGACCTCATAAAGGAAGTTTGTGGAGGTTGTTGGAGAAGAAAACTAGAATGCATCACCCTACAAAATCCATGTACTACCTCATTTCAAGTACTTTCTTGCATCTTAGGGAAAATTCAGAACAACTACAAGGGAAAACAGTCTTCATGGACAACTGATCTTTTGGATTTCACTAGAGCATTTTAACTTAAATAGATTTTAAAGTCTAGACGTGATCTGAGTAAAACCATGCTATTTTAATGAAAAAATACAGCATATAGAATGATTTTAGCATACACAAAAATCCAAATTCTACAAATTCATAAAAATACATGAGGAAAAATAAAACACACACTTAAGAGAACTTGCTTCTTTTGCAACTGTGATGCTCTGGGTGTACCACATTACTTGTAGCTGTAGCATGTAGAAGGATAATGATCATTGAAGGGTTGGGACTGTAAATTGTTGAATTTATACCACGGAGTTCTTAAAAGACCGCTTGGCAACTTCCCCTGAAGTATGCATATCTTTAAAATATGACATACTTTTGTACTGCCTAAGGTCTATTCCCATGCAATAGAAGTGACTTCAGCAGTAATGAACAGAGTGACCTCTAATCAACCAAATTTGCCCTGCTCTCAGAATACCACATAAATCAGTTACTGAGGAGTTGCCAAAGTCTTACTAAGTGCTTGAAAGCTCTTCCTAGATGGATGTAACAGAATTAAATTTAGGATGTTTTTGGATACCAGTGTCCAAACTCCACACACTATAAAACCATGTAATGTTCACCCCAAAACAGGTGGGTTTATTACCAATGTCTATAAAATGTACTCCCAGACTTTTAATGTTGTTTTGCACAAAATGTAAAGTATCTCCCCACCTTTCCAAATATTGAATATTATGGATAAATCAAGGCCTTTTCTAATCAACCTACATTACTCACTTCACTCATGTGAGAAATCTTGCATGAAATTTTCTCTCCACACCAGAGATGCTATAAGGAAGTTATTTGTAAATGCCAGCTTCCACCCAACACAGATGAATTCCTTGAGTGTCCTATAACTGACAAATGTTAAGTCTGACAACCTTGATTTGCTTCTTCTCAAAAAGCAACTCTTTGCCACCACTGACAGCTTAAAGCAGCTACTTCCCCATCCTTACTGTGTTGTGCTGGAGCTTTATTTTTGGCTGGGTCTGTTTCCCAAACCCATTCACGTCATGTCCACACAGACACGCAGACCAATGCAACGGCAGGATGCGAGGGAGAAATGCCGTCAGCCCACGGCAAACGCTGCATCTGAATCACGCTGTGCAGGAGGCAGCTCTGCCCCTCACCTGTGTGCAAAGGCAGCCCAGACTCATTTGTTTCCCACTGAAACGCCAGTTGCAGCACAATTATAAAACAGCAGACCACGAGGAGACCTCAACCATGGTAATAACCAGGCCAAGAAATGTTTCAGGATTTTTTTGCTGCTCTCTGTGGGTACATCGTAATTAGCTGGTTATTTGCAGCGGAGCTGCAAAGACATCATTAATCTTTAGATAAAATATTCATGTTGCACAATTTTCCTCTTTCACAAGGGAAAGGATTTGATTTTGAACATGTGAGGGTTAATACAGTACAGCGGCTTGAAAATTCTGTTATTGCTAGGTGTTGTCAGCAATGTGAATGGTCAGAACACACAGGTGAAAATTCCCCCATCTTTGTATCTCTCAATGGATCCAAATGAATACAGAAATACATTCAAGATACACGGACACAAAACAATTGCAAGAACAACTGAAGATGAAGCGTTTTCAGAGAAAGGGAAGAGCTTGAAATGAAAGATCATACATAAATATTAGAAAATATATATTTAAGGAAGCTATGGTGGAGAGATTTAACCTAATAAGTTTATTCTTCTAGAATCAAACAATTTCACTGAAGCAACATGACTTTTGGGATACAGGGCAAATCACATACAAGTACCATACAACTCACAGTGCTTCAAATGTGGTATTTACCATTAAAATAATGCACATGCAAAATATGCAGTTTTGTCTGTTACTAAGAAACTAACAAATGTACTTAGACACTTTGGAAAAATAATGAGAAAAAATGTAATGTAAATTAAGTTGAAAATGGAAGAGTTTAAACAATGATTTTACTGTCTTCTGCTTTCTCTATAGAAGATTTTTCAACACTGAATTTCAAACAATGCCTTGTAACTCCTAAAATATGCTTTTCTGGAAAATGATTAAGGTTTTCCAGTTACATCCCTATTGTTCAAACTCAATTTGATTAATTGCATTTTGATTTTTCAAAAACATACACAAAGGTACATTTTTGTATGAATTCTGACTTGCTTGGCATTGCAAGTATTTTTTACAAAACAAGTTTTCTGATATATTTAAAACACAGCTGCATTCACAGCAAGAAGCTATGCTACACCAATGAAAACACATTGCATTGGTAGCCTTCATAGATCAAAGTGACTGAATAAAATTATTTGAAATACAGCTCCTTCCAGAGGCCATTAAAATTGTATATTTTTTTTTTTTTTTTTTTTTTTTGGGAGGGCGTGGCGGAAAAAGTTTTTTTTTCTGGAGAGACTGGGCAGAGAAGACTTGACAGAGTTCTCCCCCCTTTCCTATTGGGCAGGAAAAAATTGCCTCTCTGATTTGAGCAGGAAAAAAATTGTATTGATGTTTCCTAAGAAATCAGAACAGGGCTATTTTTAAGTGTTTTCATTAATTACACGGTAACCTGCATTCTTTGGGTGATGAATAAAAGAGGAAAAGCATTTACTTCTCATAGAAACAATTGCCTGTCAAACAAAGCATAAAAAGACAAAAGGCAGAAACACTGTTTCAGCTTGAATGCCTTAATGTCACCATTTGTCATGCAGCACTTGCTCAGAAAACCCCCAAGTACAGCTAACTCTGCTCCTCTTTACACCGTGCACTTTCTCTGCTGGTACAGGATTAAAATGCGCCCGGCCTGACGATGAAACAGCAGAGCCATCGCACATTGTTATGCAACTCACTGTCTGCAAGGGTGGCTCGTAGCTCCTTCTTTATTCAGCAAGTGCCAAGTGCATGTTTAATCAATGTCACAGCTCACCACAGTGTGCAACTAAAGCCACTGTCATTCCTCTCTTCAGATTTGCCTGGCTGAGTTATGCAATGCTCCGAAGAATACCTTGGAATTCTTTCCAGAGGCTCTGAATGCAGGTGGGTGACAGCGTTCCAAGTACTGCCAGCAAAGCAGACCTCTTTTCATCCTTTTTCAGGCTGGACTAAAATTACATAGTGTGACTGCACGTAGTTCGCTGCATTTGGAATTACAGCATGTCAACGTGAGAAAGCCTCTTCAGACGGCTGCCACAAAGAGTACATCAAAGGCTGGGTGTTTCTGAAGTCTTAATAAATAACTAAGTATAACTGAATAAAACCAGGAGCTGTTTGTATTTTTTTTAAGACAAAACAGAACAGCATGCATTTTGTTGCCCTGCATCAGCTAAGGAAAAAAAAGCCTCAATTTTAATGAGAATTAGTCAACATTAAGGATCATTATGAGAAAGAGCTTTACTGTTTTTTCGACTACACTTGCTTTAGTGGATTACTGAGAAAAAACACCAGCCATTTGGAAGATTCTGCAACATTATTATCGTCACTGATAAACTTCTTCATCAAGAAACTGTACGTGCTCCTATCTGGTCTGTCTGAGAGAGAGAGCAGCTCCTTCATGAAGATAAAAGCCTGGCTTGCCACTGAATCGACGAGTAAGAAGCATGTCTGATGACATTTTATTCCTGATGCAATGTAGGGTAAGAAATACCTCTTTTTTTTTTAACCTTTCTGTAAGATATGTTCTGAGCTGATGACATTAATTAAGACTCACAGGAGAAATACCTTAATCTCCAATGATTACAGCCATTTGCCAGGAGAGAAAGATGCTATTGCACTATAAAATGATTGTATATCTTCAGTAAATTGGAGTGATCTGAACTAGTAGAAATCCCCATCAAATTTCTGATCAATAAAGCTAAAACAGCATAGCAGATTGCATACAAGATGAACATCCCAGTCACCAAAGAACATAATTTTACAGGGAATATGTTTCTAGAAGATATTTGACTGCAAATTAAGAGTACAAGAGCAGCTAAGTAATAGAAATGAGCTGTCAACCTCACTTCTGCAACCAAAAAAATATGACAAATCATACATGCATCTGTAAATGTCTACTTGAATTCTTAAACTGCATAGAATGTTGTTACTATAGAAGTACTACCATCCTGTGGCATACTGCAATGATCAGCATACATAACCACCACCTTTGTATTTGAAGAGACAGACATTTTCTGATAAATGTTTACTGTTGCATGGATGTGCAAAAGCTGATCTGTTAAACATGAAAAAGGATAAGATCTCACTTGCAATTGCCTGCTTGGGGCTTGTGAGAAACAACTTGCGATACTGTATTAAGGAGGCATATTTTCCATGTTTGAAAATAGCAGGCATGAATATTTTCTACTGGTATTTTTACGTGGCAGTTAAATATATAAGAAAAGCTAAAAATGCATATAACCTCCCCAGGCATTTCAGAGTATTTGACAATGCTCACATATCTGCTTTCACCAGTACCATCCTTTATAAACAAATAAGCTGGCTTAAGATACATTTTAAATGTCTTTTGTAATAAAGGATACTAACTGGCTTGGAGCACCAAGCTATTTTTCACTCCTATCAAATCTGTACCTACAGAACATTTATTTTTAACATGAACATGTCCACACAAAAAGAAAACAAAAGACAAATACAACTCAATAAACGCAGCATTAAGAAATGTTGTATGAAGAACTACAGAATTGTTTTTAAAAAGATCAAAGCTTGCATGTTTGTCAGACCAGATTTACCATTTGCTTTCTTTTTTCTAGCTAGCTGCCAGAATACTGGTGAAGGTATTTGCAGGAAAAATGGGGACCTCTGCCATCACAACACTAGAAGATGTAAAAAGGCAAGAGGAGAAAGAGGAAAAAGAAGAATCTATTTTAGCACTGCTTGGGATTATTGGAACTGTGCTCAATTTATTTGTTATTGTTTTTGTGTACATCTACACTACACTTTGATGACATTTTTGAAAATCCATTGTACAGAACAAAGTGCAAAGACCTGCAATGGTAAGGATGATTTCTAAATTAAAAGCAAAAAAACCCACCACTCTCTGAAAAGAGTATCAAAAACATTCCAGAGTGAAGTGTCTGGCTAAGGGTGCTGCATCAATGACTGCAAAGTGTACCTAAGAGCCCAGCTAGGGTGCTAAATTACGTAAATGAAGGCAGACCAAATGCAACATTTCGTTGGTAACAGATGAAATCTGAAGAGCTGATCAGAGAAGGCACTGTTTTATTGCCAGCAAACATGCAAGACAGAAACACAGCCAAACACTGAAAATAATCAGAACATAGAAAGAAATAAAGTAAATCTGTGAGTAACTATAAACAAGTCCCATGCTTTCTATGGTTTTGTGCAGTATGTCCCTTCATAGCCGAGACCAGAAAACAGGCAAAAGGGATTTTTCATTTTTAGGCCACCATAATTTAGGCTTATAACTTACACTAATGTATAATAAGTGTGGAAACAGGAACGCTGTTATACTAGAAGTTGTAATACTATAAATAAAATTTTAACTATTGACTATATTCTGCAGCATTTTTGTTAGTCTTGTGGAAAGCTGAAAAAGGTTAGATTTTCTTGCCTTTACTAAATCTGTATTTGAAATCATCATGCTATACTGACAATGTGCTTTTCTAATTAAAAATACTTTAAAGTGGTGTGAAAAAATAAAGAATAATTTTAGTACTTCTTTTAAGACATGTTAATAATTCCAATGACAAACTAATACATATTCCTTAAATGAAAAAAAAATCTTAAATTACATTTTCTATACCACCACTTTTAGAATGTGTTTAACAGAAGCCAAATACAATTCTCATGTTTTCACCCTGATGCTTATTTTCAAGTAAAACATACCATGCAAGGGTTCACAGTGTTGCATGGAAAACCTTTGTCCAGAAGACTGTACTCTCCCTTTCTTGACCAAGTCCTGAAAAATTTTTCCCTTTTTGCACCGTCTATGACTGAGGCCCAGAACTGCCACTCTTAGGCATACTTCACAGAACATACCATTTGGCTACTGAAATTAGTGAAACTAATTCCACATATTTAATTAAATCTACATATGCCTTTAAACTAGATCCAAAGCTGTGGATAGTCTGAGACCATAGAAGTTTTTGTATCCATGAATGTATCTCACATGTACCTTATAATGAAAATTACTTTTGAGAGCTTAGGATTAAAAACTCATTAAACAAATAACATGAAAAAAAAAAAACAAACCCGATTTTAATAAATACTTTTCTTACTATTACCTGTGCCACAGGAACAACAGAGCAGCTGCATTTCTGAATATCAGCTCAATTTCTTCTAGGCTACAAAACTACATCCAGTCCCTCCATAAAATTACATGTGAAGAAATACATCCCTTATATAGGTGATAGCTTATTAATGTATCGGATTTGGTAACTGCTAAACCAACTGAGCCTTTGGAAGTCACTTGGAAACCAGTACATGCATAGAATAAGGTCAGGGACCTAGAAGATAATTAATTTGGCAATGATATTTCAATCAGTTGCACACTATAACAGTGACTTATGGACAAATGGACAAATGAGGTGGAAGATGCTATATTCTGGTTTTGCAACTCTGAGTCAATACTGGCTCAACTAGAAGAAATGATAAACAGGGCTGAGGCTGCACAGGAAGGAAGCACATGCAGACAAGAAAATTTGTTCACCAGCCACAGTCTTCAGCAAGTCTCTATTAAATGTATACTTATTTTCAGTATATGAAGCACCAAAGCATTCTGTAAAAGTAAGCTACATTCTAGAGGAATTATGCAGGTTGCTAATGTTTATTTATGACTACAGAACAGGTATTACCATTATTATTTTTCCAATGTACTTCTTATATCTACCTACTTATGGATATTATTGCATTTAATCTCATAATACCGGGATATTTGAGATGGATCTCTGAAATATTAGAAGAACCTGAAAAGTGAAATTCAGGTAGAAATTACTGCTGTTTATTTTGATCCTGAAGTTATTTAAAATTTGTCAATTCTGTGAAATAAATAAACAGTTTTATTTCGTATCATCTCAGTGCATAGCTCTCTTCTTGAAATCATGATTCAACTAGTACAACAGCATTACAGTGAAATACTGCACCTTTTTTTTTTGGTAAGCTCTTCAACAGCAAAACAGACAAAAACCAATCCCAAAATTATAACCAAATGTAGGAAAGGGTCAGCATGATTTCTTTTACCAGTGAATGAGCTCATTAACATTAATGAAGGCTAGGAGAATTTTTAATTTCAGTAATTACATGCTGTCTATCTATACTGCCACTGTACCTCTGATTTCATTTATAGCAAAGGTTTTGATCCTTAGAGGGAAGTCACAGGGTAACATGATCATTAGACTGCCTCAGCATACAAGTTACATTTTGTTTTAAAACAGCAATCTGATGTCCTTTCTTAATAGGTAATACCTGCAGGCCATACTCATGTGGACCTAAGTCTAACTTTAATTAAATAGAGCTCTAATAAACAGCTTTGGTACTTATACATTTAATCCAATATATGCTTAAGAATTTCACCAACAAAGAATATCTTAATGGCAACTACCTCTCATTATACACAGCACAAATAGTCTAGGGAAAAGCAGAGTTGCATGATGATTCAACATTTACACTGCAGCAGTACCGTCACACCTTCAGTGATGGACGAATAAAGAGCTCAGTGTACCTGCCTCAGAGTACTCAGCATACTCAGCTCAGTGGGACTGGATAACTTGACAGAAAATAAAACAACACCATGCAATGCCTTGAGAATAAATGTAATTGCTAGAAAAGAAATACTCTATCTTCAGCAGACCAACTAGTGTAGTTCATGGTCTGAGGCCTGAAGAGTATGACTTCAGTGGACTCAACTAACAAAGGTACATCAAAAGAGGCAGAAAAAAGAAAGCAGCACATTCACATTCAACAGATTTGTCCACAGTACTGATTAGACAAAGTTCACAATGAGGTATTTGGCAGCAGGATAAAGCAGCACAACATTAATGAGTCCATAAGTCTATGATGTGACAGTATTTGGTAAACTATGAAAAGTGCATTGAAAGCAAATACTGGACTCCCATCAAGTGGAACATTTTGGTCCGTAAAGACAATCCTTTTAGCAAAGCTCTCCCGCAGAAATGCATCATCTCTTCTCAGCAGTCAAACCCAGGGAAGACTAAGCTCATATAACACTACAAACTAAGCTGACCACATCACATGGCATTTTGTCCACCAAAGAAGGAAACGTGCCTAAGAAAGGAGCATGTAAGCAAACCCCAGCTGAAACTACAGTATCATCTGTTTCCTGTAAGCCTGGAAATTCAAACAAGGAGAATTCAAGCAGAATTCTGCAAGTTGCTATGAGGTCTGTTTTCCAAGGCAAAGGTGATAACAATCCTCTCTTGATATTTGTCTTTAAACAAGTCTAAGTCATCTCAGGGTTTGCTAGATACTAGTTTAATGACAAATCAGTAGAAAAACTGTTTTTTACCATGAAGAGACTACCTAATATTGTGGTATGGACAAATCCAAACTTCACTTGGCTTCTTACTGTTCAAGCCTATTAAAAAATACAGTCCTTGCCCTGTTCTAAAAGTCACTTGATTTCCCTTCTGTTTCATGATTCCTTTCCACTGTCTTGTCTCTGTAAATCTTGTTAGCTACAAAAACTATTATAAATACTGCTTTCTTCTCTCCCACTTGCAAATACTATCTTGTATTAGTTTCCATTCACCTATCAGTCAAATAACTCTAATTTCTATTAGCAAAATCTAGACCTTCAAGACAGTCACGTATGGTCATGCGTTTGCTGGGAACCTTTTGTACAGTGCAAATTTTATTACAGTGCATTTTGTTCAAGAAGAGAAGTGTTCAAATATTTGAAAGAGTCCCTAAAATCTTTCAAACGAAACATGCTGTATACAAGACAAAAGTGAAAAGATTTTACATGATATTTTGTGTGAAATGTGTATATATGCATGGTAATGAATACATGCTAGATGTTTCATGATACAGAAGTTAAAAACTACATCAATTTTACAAATGTAAATATGAGTTAAGTCTTAGGAATAAGCATAGGTATAATAAAAAATCTCACCATGTTGCAAAAATAAATCTTCTCATTTACAGAATGAAAGATAGTAAAAACCACAGTAATGCCATAGCAAGACATGAAACAAACACCAAAAAAATTGTCAAGAAATGGTGAGGATTACAGCAGCTATTGCCCCTTGTGACGAGAGCTATCTTGCATACTAAGGAAAGTTCTTCAAAGACAGATAAACCTTCCTCCTCTACAAGAAAAAAGCAATTATAGAAATCAATTAAAATGGTCAGAATTTGCAAGGACTTCACAATCACCTCACTTCGATGCAGATGAAGCTGCAGAATATATCAGAGCAATCTGTTTCGTACTGATCTGGTTCAAGGTGAGGTTTCTAAATGACTAAATATTATGTGAGCAGTGCTTGTCTGATCAATATTCCTTTATCTAGAACTATACAGATAACAATCTAGTCCATGTATGTTTTGGGCAAATTAAGCAGGATGCCAAAATAAACTTAATCAAAAAGTCTTAATAAAATCAAAATAAACTTAAACAAAAATCCTAGATAGACTTACAACTGTGACACAGGCCAATCTGCTGGAAGAGCTTTGCAAGCTGGATGTGCTAGACCTAGGATGTAGCCTAATTGAACATGTGTAAGCAAAATACAAAATTCACATCAATACCAGAATACTTACTGTCTTGTATCACCACAGAGTTATCAGCCTATGTGCAATGAAAGGAAAAAACATGCCTGCAGCTTCATAGCACATACTTTTATATCAAAACTCTTCCACTGCATTTATTTTATGTCTATGGTAGATACATATAGATATGTGAAGATCACTATTATTCCAATAATTACAACAAAACCTAAAATTTGGCAGAATACCTTCAGCATAAGGTAACCTTCATCTGATCCTACCAGTACCCACTCAAATCTGAGAAAGTTATAGGGTTGTTGAAATCACTAATTTCTGTCATCACTGTGCTGGGCACAGCTTGTTCCTGCTCAGGTGCCAGAACCCAGGAACATTCTGTTAGCATTCTACATGCAAACCCCTAATTTCTCAGACCAGCATGTTACAGAAGAGTGCAGTTATCTGCTTATCCCACATAAAAGTACATTTTGACAGCAGAAGTTGCACCAGTCTGAAAATCAGAATACCATATCCATGCTCATTACTACCAATGCTGCTCCCTTTCCTACTCTCCCTAGACTCCCATTCAGCCTTGCTAGAGAAGACACAGGTATTCAAACTAAGTTTGAAATTAGGTAAAGCTCTATCAGGAAAGACTCACATCTGCTCTACTACATTGCGTTGGTCTTCAAGATTTTAAAAATTAAAATAAAAATAGTAGAAATAATAAAGAAGGCATCTCTGTATTTGAAATGTTTGAACCATAAATGCATTAAGGGGATTTTTTTTTCAGTCCCACAAGCATTGTACCAGAACCTAACACAGCTTCAGAG